TAACAACATGGCCTCCAGGTAGTCAGACAACTTGTATTCAAATCTTTATTTACATCCTATTCAACTTTCAGTCTCCGTACATCACTCTCTTCATCAAATGAGGTAATTGCAGAGTTTTATAGTTAGAATTAAGTGACAGTAAATGTGTAAAACTATATGGAAGACAATAATTACTTGCCAATATTTTAGAAGGTGAACTGATGATTTATTGCCAAACCCAAATATAACTATCCAATGCCATTATAATTTGAGTTTTATTTCTACTCTTTTCAGAGACTAACTATGTGAATGCCCTATAACAAGTATGAGAACAACTTTGGCAGCTTAAAGTGTAAATCTGATGATCATCCTATTTTGATTCCCCATCACCAGCTGGTGCTTGGTATTATTCCAGAAACCTGGTGAGAAAACTCAGGGATTAAGTGAAGAGCAAAACAGTCTTCAAGCTCAAAGTTCATAAAGACAAACTATGAGAAAACTGAAATAAACTCAAAAAGAAAAAAATACATCGAACATTGAAAAAATGAAGACATAGAAAATGAAGATATATTCAAAATGCTTTTCTCAAGTGACCACAGTCTGGGCTCAAAAAGGTGAAGTGAACTAAATGTTGATAATGTGTAACAAGGTTATGTTTTAATACCACGTTAACTGCTTCTTTCAATTCCTCTAATAATATAACAGCAACGAAATATGTAGGTAAAAGTTTGAGTCAGTACTTTTCAGGAGCCTAAAATATACTTTGAGTATTTTCACAGAATTTAATTAAGCTAACAAATGAATTTGGGCCAAAAAATGATTAGGCCTTTAAAGCCAATTCTTTTAGCAAAACATTAGTAGCAAAGCCAGCATAGTAGAGAAATTGTCAACAAAACATTTTTCAACTAAAAATATGAAAAAAGCTTCAGTTTTATTTGGTGACCTAAAAGTAACAAGCCAAATCATTGGCATGTAGTTCAAATTCAAAGTACTTATTTTAAAAATTTAAATATGTATGCAGTTATAACCAATAAATGCCAACCAACCAACACTCTGTGCATGGAAAATGACTGTCATAATATCAATATTTAAAGTTCAACTTAATTTTTCAACTAATTATGACCAGTATCTTTAGAATCAGAAGACACTTACCACCTTACTCAAAAACAAACAAAACTGAAGACCTCTACAGAAGGTATGCCAGTCCTCAAAAACCACATGAGCATCTTGAAGAATATGTATTGATTCAAAGGAACTGACCCACTAAAATGAATTAGATAAAATATAAAAATTCAGGGTTTCCTGTTAGAAATTATGTTTTTGAAAAAGAAATTTATTCTTTTGGTAAAAATTTCAAACATTGTTTAACTTGAAAATCATTATTTTTCATTTGGCATTTCCCAAATTTCTAACAAACCTATAAATTAGTGATTTTATTACTGTCTCACTCACCATGAACTTTTTCCTGTATTTGAGAAAGAGCTCTTCAAAAAAATTCTTATTTCCAAAATGGGACTCAACAAGGCATATGCAAATCAGTACATACATGACAGGAAAATCACAAATGCAAATACAAAGTAACTAAATTATAGCTTAATGCCAATTATACTTTTAGAATAGTTCTTTCAAAAAGTCAAACTATCCCTTTAATTAAATGGCATATTTAAAGAGGCAAATGAGAGTCAGAATACAGGATTTTATAATGAAATAAGTAATGAATAAATTCAAATCTCCTAGCAGAATCATTTAGCTCACAGTCTGTAAAGTCAGTTGCACCTATAAAAATGAGACAAATGCATGGCAGTTTGAAAAGAACTCAGCCAAAACATACTGAAAGCATTTGGACTCTCCATGATGATAAATTCTAGCTTATAAATTATATATCTATGTAAGAAAAAAATTCTACAACATTCTTAAAAAATATATCCAAGGCATATGTGCATTCTAAGATAGGCATTATAAAAATGCAATTTTAACAATGAAATGCTTCCTGTAAAATATGATCAGATTACAATTTTATCTATGTGTTTGTGAGTATATGTTGTGTGCTAACAAGTTTCCATATATTATTCCATTTTATTTACTCTAGTTTACCAGGAAAAACTGAGAGAAAAGAAAATAAAAAAGGAAATGGAAAATGACATATATTTATTGTTGTATGTCAAACCTTTATTGTATTTGCAATATATAATGATCTCCATTGTTGCATTTAAAAAAGAAGTTTTTGTGGAGTCATAATACATGTTTTTCATATAGTTCCTAATGGTATACTCAAAAAATAGTGAATATGTAGCAATAAAATATTATCTCAATGGTCAGTACATATTCCAAGATTTTAGTCTAACATTACCAAATAATTTAGCATGCTCCAGCCATCTACCTGGCTTTGTAAAAGCCAAAGTGCTACACCACTTTGTTCAAGATCGTTTAACTCAGCAAGCTTGGTTAGTGAAACACATTCATGATAAAATTCTAATAAAAACAGAATTTTTGCAAAATGAAAGATTAAGAGTAAATATTTTAACTAAAAATCAGAATTCTGTGTAGTATTTGAAAATTGTATTGATACGCTTTCTGTTGTTGGGCCAAAACACATGGAAGATACCATTTAAAGGATAAATGATTTGTTTGTCCCATGGTATCAGAGGTTTTAGTTAATGATCAGCTGGATCTGAGAGACTCACAAGGAGGAAGGGTTAGCAGGGGACTGTTTCTAATCTTATGGGAGTCAGAAAGCAGAACACAGAGCCAGAGAAGAAAGGACCAAGGACAAGGTACACACCAAGATCACACCTTCATATCCCACATGGACAGACTCAGATTTGTGCTTTATTAATTTCCTAGGTGTCTCACAAACCAAACTATTTGATAATCAAGATTAACCATCACCCCTTGTTAACCTGAGACCTAAAAACATCTCCTGAATTTACAATCACCAAATAGAGACAATAACAAGGTCAAAATTCCACTTAACATAATATAATTATTTCACATACAACTGAAAACACACTGTTCTCCCAAAGTTTGAATAGTCCTAGCATTACTGAAGAGTCTTAGTGCGAAATCTCTTATGAGACTCAAGGCACTCAGTATCAGTTAAAAAAATTTAAAAATAAATAAATAAATAGGACAATAAAGAGATGCACAATACCAAGATACAATATGCAAAGGATAAGTAAGCATTTGCATTCTAAAAGGAAGGAATCAAACTAAAACAAGATGAAAACTCAGCAAACATTAAACCCTGCAAGGCAAACATCAAATTCTGTCACTCCATATCCAGCATTTGGGACACGTGGTGGCATAATATAAGCTTCCAAGGGCACTACCCCTGTGGTCTTGCTGGCTGAAGCCTATAAGGTCTCTCTGTGGGCTGATTCTGCTTATGGCCCATAGCTTTAATTCATGATTAACTTGACAATGGAGAGTACTCATCAAAAAAACATAGTTATCAGATCTTTTAAATACGAGTATTCATATATATATATATATCCCAATCTTAGAGAAGTAACTTAGGACACTAAGCTATGACCTGTCCAACTCCTAATTATCTTTTCTTCACCCAGTGGTCCAGTGTTTGGAACTGAATACAGTTTCTTTACCTCAGCTACAAATGTGATGGCCTTAGAAAGGCTAAAGAAACAAAGTAAATATCATTTCAGGAAAAAAGTTATAATTTATAGACAAGAAAGACCAAGGCTAAAAAAAACTAATGGTGAAATTAAAATGGGTCACTCTATTGGCTATCAAATTGAACTTTAGAAGAGATAGAAATGGGATCAGTCTTGCTACATCTTGAGCAGTTATGATGTGTAGGAGACAGATTAGGCAAATAATGAAGCTGTCAGGGAAAGATGTACAGATAGCACTGACATCAGCTAATAGATGACCTCTCATGTAAGACCTTGGGGCGACCTTGAACCATGACCATTGGGTGCTAAATATAGTTATTAGTTTTTTGTTTTTAGAATTTTTACTATCTTATCATTTTAACCTCTTGCTAAAAATATTGCTTTATCAATATGCTTTGTGGAAACATCATTTCCCTGCTGTGGTAAGAATATCGTGAGGACAAACATTTAATAAATGTTAATAATGGTTAACACTTGCTGAATGCTTGGCTAAGGACTTTTAGCACTGCATCTTATTTTGTTACATATTATTCGTTATTTTACATTTTATGCCTGATGTAAATAAATTTCAACAAGGTTATCAGACACCTCTGCAATGAAGAAAGAAGCTCGTTTTAACATGGTAGTTATACCCTCTGATGGTGATTAAATTTTTCCTTATGAAACCTTGTGAAATAACTCTCTTCAACAAGCATTTATGATGATGTAAGCATATGGAACAATTATGCACTACTTTTGAAACTCAAGTTTACTAACCTTGAGGTCAGCATTCTATCAAGAAAAACATGCTCTATTTAGTGAAACAAAAGATTCTTATTTTTTAAAAATTATGTTCTAGAAACTGATGCTCAAGTCAGGAGAGGAAATTGCCTTTGAGGATAATTAAGGATAAGAAGAAATTTTATTAGAGTGTCTCAGAAGTGTTATAAGGTAAAATGTGTGCTGAGGGAAAAACCAGACCTGAGATTATATATTTGTACTAATAATAGGAAATAAACATTTTTCTTGAGGATGTGGTATTTGCCATTAGGAAAACAAAGGACAAACAAAATAACAATAATATCAATGAGATATGCTTATAATCAGATTTTTTTCAAAGGATAAAAATGAAAATGCAATAAGGCATATATGGCAGTTTTTCTGGGGATGTAATTGAAAGACTTAACCATCATTCAAATTCTTGGATTTGCATTGCCATATTTTCATGTGTAGAGCACCTGATTTCAAAGGAAGTTCATTTGATTTTCTTATTGAGTATAAGAATCTACCTATGACCCCAGAAGTTGACAGAAGACCAGATTTCTCAGTGTCATCCATTCCTGTTTGCAAGATCTTCAGAAGATATTTAAGACCATCTACGAGGAAACACTACGATTCATTATAGGAAACATGGAATTGTCTTCCTTAGATGTTCTTCACGTGATCATCGTGTCAACAGAACTCTTTGCAGGAATTACAGTAAATGCATTTCTTCTAATTGTGAACTGTAATGATTTCATCAAAGTCAGAAAGCTAGTACCACTGCAAATTCTTTTAATATGCATAGCATTATCCAGACTGGGTCTTCAGATTGTGTTAATGATGCATAGTTTAGTCTCTGTATTCTTTCCACACAAATATGAAGACTTTATTTATAGTGTAAAAATGATGTTCATTTGGATGCTTTTCAGCTCCATCAGTTCCTGGTTTACTACTTGCCTTTCTGTATTTTACTGCCTCAAGATTTCAGTCTTCACTCAGTCCTGCTTTCTTTGGTTGAAATTTAGAATTTTGAAGCTTGTTCTCTGGCTGCTTCTGGGAAGCATGCTGGCCTCTTTGAGCACAGCAGCTGTATGTATTGTGCTAAAAGTCCCTCAGGTCTTCACAAACGTCACAGAGGAGAAGACACTGGTTGTTGTACAGGACACTTATGAATTTCTTCTTCTTAACTTGACATTAATACTTCCTCTAACTATATTTGCAATCTGCACTTCTGCGTTGTTCATCTCCCTTTACAAGCACACTCATCGGATGCAAAACAGACCTCATGGTTCTTCAACTGTCAAGAAAGAAGCCCATATAAATGCATTAAAAACAGTTGTATCATTCTTTTGTTTCTTTATTGTTTATTTTGCTGCCTTCATGGTAAATATGACATTCAGAATTCCTTTTAGAACTTATCAGTTCTTTGTAATGAAGGAAATAATGGCAGCATTTCCTTTTGGGCATTCAATTATAATAATTTTGAGTAATTCTAAGTTCCAACAATCATTCAGGAGAATTCTCTGTCTCAAAAGGAAACAATGAAGATAAGAGGGACTGGGAAATACATTTTTCCTTGATATGGATTCAATGGATTTATTTGTGTTTTGTGTGTTTACTTTTCCTCCCTCTATGATAATTTCTTATCCACCTTTCACCAAAAAACTCATGGGATACTAATTCTGATTTTGAATGGACAATATTTCTCTCTATCCCAGGGCTTGTGTACTCAAAAATATTGTGATGGTAATACATTTTATTAACTAGTGTCTGTACTGATGTACCAGTTTGTTTTAGAAATAAGAAAAAAGTCCTAAGACTACCTGCAGCTAATCAATATTTTAAATGGTGTATCTGTCTTCCCAGGTTATTGGAAGTCTTCTGGTTGAGATAGTGAAAACATTTTGAAATCAACAGTATATTTTGGTAGTTTGGGGGCACTTAGTTATTTCAAGTGATACATTATTACAACCCATATCCTGTGTTGAAATTGTGTACCATAGCACAGTACCCAGTGATACTGATTTAGATTTCATTTTGCTTTGAACTTCAGGTGGGTGGATGATAAAGAATGAATTGAGCTTCCTTGGATGCTTCTCACAAAATAAATAGTTTCAACCTCTTGAAGTAATAAACTCAGTGCCTGAGTAGATGTAGGGAAGGCTGTAGAGAAGTGTCAGCAGGCTAACATGTGACAACTGGGGATACTGTTTCCTACTGGGAATCTTGCATGGGACATGGCAGCAGCAAATCATCTGAAGATCAAAATAAAAGCTTTGGAATTTGATGCTAAGTTTGAGTTGATTCTACTGTTTAAGAGTCAATGACTTTGGGGAAAAACTATCTTTTGCAATAATACTGTTTATCTCTTAGGGTACCAATTTTAATCAATAAAATCATCTTGAACAAATAAATGTTGATTTTTTAACTGTAACCAATTATGATTAAAGTAGAGATGTGTGTATATGTGCGATGATTTGCTACAGAAAATTTAGAAGAAAGAAAAAATGTAAAATCTGTACTAGCAATTCTTTCATTCATTTCTGAAGCAGAGGTTCTCAAATTAGAACAGATGTGAAAATATCACCAAGAGAACATGTTAAAATAGAAACTGCTAGGTCCGCTTTAAGGATTTCTAATTCATTAGGTTGTGGCTAAGGTTTGAGAATTGGTGACAAGTCTTCACATGATATTCTGCTGTGTAATACATGTAATTTTATGGGTCTGAATTTACATAAATAAATATGTTAATTTATTATCCTCTCTGTTAAGCATAAATATTTTCCTTTTCATATGTGTTGTTTCCCACTTGAAAATTGTTCTAATCGTAAAGAAGGCAATAAAAATAGAAATTAGAGTGTTTAACTATGTGATAGCATTAGTAATACTACTTATTACTTCTTCCTGGTAAAGAAGCTTTGGCATTATTTTCTTCTTCTGAATGTAATATAAGATATATTTTATTTCTCTAACTTACAGAGTGCTTCAAACTGTAGCTAGCCTTATACGATAAAATTACTACAATTCACTTTAAGTTAATTCAATTGGATGAATATGTTGTTTAATATACAAAAGTATATACAATAATCAGTGTGTTGAAGTTTTCATTTGCTACAATGTTTTAGCATTTTGTGTTTTGTGGAAACTGAGTAAAATTTTAGCATACGATTACAATTATCTATTTAAGGGAAAAATCATTGGTGGTTCTCTATGTAATGTAAGTCACTTAGTTATAAAATAATATTTCCATGTCAGAAAATTCTGAGACTATATACAAGAGAGCATTAAAGAGAATTCCAAGGAGTAGTTTATGCTGTTTGTTCATCCAAATGCCCTCGTCTCTTTTTTATTAGGTACAATGCTGTCATCAAGGATAATTGTTACTCTTAGTCTAAGAAATTTTCAGTAATTTTCAAATTTCAGAGATCTTCCTCTCATTAATTATTGCTATATGTAATTATCAAGATTGGTCACTTGACCTTTAGAACATCATCTCTTGGTTCGTTATTGCAGGTTTCAACTATTTTAGCCAATTATTTACAATACTTTTGAAACAAGGGCTATGTTCAAATGTATTTTAATCCCTCCAACTGATAATAGTGAGCTAAACATAAACAAGCACATGAATATAAGTTTTTGCTTAAGAGCCATATCCATCTACATGAAAATAAATGTATAAAATCAGACAGCATAAGGGTAAGTTGTTTCCAAAAATTAGTCAATTCAATTTTAATATCATTTTCATGAAAAAAAATACGTAAAATTGAACACTAGGGAAGCAATACAGGAAATTTAATTTTGCTTTTCTGTTTATAAACGGGGACAGAATTCTAAGTGGTGCACTGCTCCCACCTAGTGGACAACTTTCTGCTTAAATGAAGCAATAGTTGAAACAGTCAAGAGACTTTAACGAGGGAAGTTGGCAAGGGAACCTCTATATTCCATTACAAAGTCATGAGAAGAAAACTCATATTCAGGTAATAAAAAATTTGGTACTATTGTGAATAAACAACCTCCTCAAAAGGAAAATTAATGAAAAAAGCAAAACTAAAAATATTTATGACCTGATGGGAAACAGGATCCTCACTGATGTGCTGTATTCAGAAATATAAAAGATAACTACTGATAGAAATATCTTAAAATAGTTTGATTTAGAAGAGGCATTTAAATTGGTCTTTGAGGTATAAAGATAACTTCATAAATAAGTAAATGTGGGTGATGAATGTAGATTAAGCTGTTCTTTTATTTTCCATAAAAATCTTATATGAAACATAGCTTCCATAAAATTATCATTGACTAATGATAATATTGTTTCCCCAATTTCTCATCTGTATATAACTTTGCATTGCTATATTATTTCCTTTTTTCTCTGTAACGTGGAAATTTCGATTAAAAGCCGTCATAGGCTTTTATTCACTCAATGAGGCCTCCAGTTGACTTCTTTGAGTGCAGGCAAAGATACATTATCATGTAGAGTTCATATTCTATAGAAGCCTAATTTTATATATGTATTTTTCAAAAGAATACTTTCACTTTTGTTTATGTCTGAATAATTCTGTACTGTTTTTAGACACCATTTATTTTTTTTTACCCATTCATCTGTTTATGGGCTTCTAGGAAGATTCCAGACCTTAACTATTGTGATTAGTGCCACAATAAACATAGGACTCTAACTGCCACTTTTGCGTAGTGTCTTCATTTACTCTGGATGTACTTTCAGGAGTTCAATATTTGGATCTATTTCAGCTTTCTTTTTTTCTTTTATTGGTTTGAACCTTCATACTATTTGTTGTAGTGAATCTACTATTCCACATTCTCATCAAAAGTATACTAGAAGTTCCCCCATTTTATTTACATCCTAGCGAGAATGTACCTTTTAATAGCCATTCCAACTAGCATAAAATGATATTTCACAATGTTTTATTTTTAAAGAAAAATTTTTAAAAACAAAACCATATAGAATTTCTAAACAAATGATAGTAAATTAACCATAGTTATTATATTGCATATTGCTGCTTTGAAATAGTTGCACAGATTACCAGATACAGTCATGCAAAATTGATCACACAATATAAGCACTAACTGTTCCTTTCAACATATTAATAGAATGAGTAGCACAATTATCTTAGCTTTTTGTATATGTATATGTCATGGTTTATGTCAGTGGCTCCTCCAAGCTTCATGCAATAATGGACATGGCTAAATCTAGCACTTGTGATTGGTTCATTGTCTAGCACTCAGATTGGTGGTGTAGGTGCTAGACCCACCCAGGGGTAGAGCCAGTATACAGTGTAATGGCAGGAAGAAGGTGTGTCTTTCTCTCTTGCTATTCATGCTGACTGTTTACAGTGGCCCCACCATGCCACCCTGCCACTTGGAGGCAACTGAGTATGGACTAAAACCTCTGACCTGTAAGAAATAAACCTTCCCTTCCCTAACTTTGGGCATCAGATATTTTGTATCAACAATTAGAAAGAAAAGTAACCGAAACAGAATTTGGTACCAGAGGAGTGGGATCATTGCTGTGACTATCTCTGACCATGTGGGTGAACAGCCTTTGGAAATGGCATGTAGGAAGAGTTTGGAACAGTCTGAAGATATCACCTGAATGCATAGAGCTGGAATAGCTTAGGCTGTTCAGTAGGGAAGATTCTGGTCAGTGCTTAGGAGACCAAAAGGCTGATAGAAATCCTGCTGGTAAAGACCAGGCTTGGGAGATTTCTGCTGGGAAGAAGAAATGCACTGGTTGTTGGACTCCACAAGATGTGTGTTATGGTTTGACAAAGTTTGTATGCATTTTGCTCATGCCCAGAAACTTTTCTTGCGACTGAGATTAAGGGTAGTGAACTGATTAATCTGGCAGAAGAAATTTCAAGGCAGTCTAATATTGAGGTGGTGACATGGTTGTTGGGGGTGGGGGTAGCCAGATTTATGTTGCAAATCAAGAGCAAAGAGCCCAGCAGGTTGATTTAAAACATGAGTTTGGCCAGAAAGCTATGGACTGTAAAGACAGAGCTGAGATCTCTATTGCTGAGAAAGAACAGAACAGAAAAGATGGCTGGGGGCATCCTGGGAAGAAGTGGGTCTCTATCCTTTGCAGCCTCAAAGCTGCAAAAGTGAAAGATTTTGCTCAGAGGAGAAAGTCATCGAGTTCCATGATCCTGAGTGGCAACAGAGGAGGTTTCAAAATGGTAGTGGCCACACTACATTCCAGAATGGCAGTAACATAGAGAAGCTATTCCTCACATTCAGGTTCAGAGAGTTCAGCAATCCAGGCACTCAACCCCTATAGCCAAGAGATATGAAAGCCTGGACACTGCTCCAGCTGGCAGGATACCTCAGCACCATCTATATGGCACTGGTTTTAGGTCCAAGGAAAATGCACAAGTTCTGAGGTTAAGGCAGCTTCCACCCTGACTTCAGAGGGCCTGGGAGGCCAAAGTGTGCCCTTGAGAGGGCAGTATATAGATCTGCAAATGTGAAGCCAAAAGTTTAGTGTAAACTCCAAAAGTTTAGAAAAGCCAGGAGCATGCATCATCCAAGGA